GCCTCTTTCTCTTCCCCGCCTCTTTCTCTTCCCCGCCTCTTTCTCTTCCCCGCCTCTTTCTCTTCCCCGCCTCTTCCTCTTCCCCTCCCCCGCCGTCTTCTCCCACCTTCACCCCGCCCACTATCTCCTCCTTTCGCCGGTGCCTACTTGCCTCCTTCGCTGTTTTCTCGTCTTTTTCCTCCACTTTCTCCTCTATTCAACAGTATTTCTTCACACACGCTCAATGACTGTGTGCTAGAATCTTTTCATGGCAATTAACGAACACGTTTACACCTTCAATTCAAAAATCATAATCTGCAATTAATCTTATACCGGAATTCCATTAAAAACGATTGCATTACAGATAAGTTTTTATCTGTCTGTATATTGTCATCAATTAACATAATACATGGTGTAATTTGTACATATTATCCATTAGAAAACATTCTATTGATTTCATTATTTTGAAACTTGTTATTTATTCTCTTGTTGTTCATATCTATTTCTCATGATTTATAGGTTTACTGTGAAATGTGAATCAAATTTTATTTAAATATTTATGATAATACCTATTATTTGTATCTTTAATTAGAGCCAATCATTGGATAAATTAAATTAGAAACACATCACTGAAAGTTTCACACATATTTGGATTACATTAAAATGCTTGTGTTACATGTACTACGTTTCACAATAAGGTACATCGCTTCCTCGGGTATAATTTTTTAAATAGTAAAATTATTTTATCTGATTTAAAATATGTTATTGAACATATTAAATCATATTAAAAAATACCATAACACATTACACTAGTACAATGCAATATGCGGAGAGACTCAGTATTTTAAAGTTAATCACTTACGCACACCATATTTAATGATACACTTGTTATGTGAAACACATTGTGTAAAGAACATCTTAAGTTGGAAAACCTAAGTGTTTAAAAGTCTACTGCCTGTTGTGGACGCGACCACAACAGTGGTAGCCAGACTGTAAACTGTACAATAACTGGCAAGAGTGGTTTGCGAGTTTGTAGTTTTGAGGGGGAAAGAAGGTAAGGTTGTTTCAAAGGGTTGAAATGATGTAATATGTGAAAAGAATTGAAAAGCAATTGGTTTGGCATTTGATATATCATTGAATAATCAGTGAACTTTTATAGGAAAAATATGAAATTAATTAACTAACTTTGGTATTTAATCTTTTTTTAATTCTTGGCCATATGCCATTGTGAAAACATTACTTTCTACGATATAATTAATCGTGTTACTGATTTTGATTATAAGAGATTCCGAAATTAATTGGTTGTATGCTTGTGGTTCCTTATTATATATGAGTTATCAAAGTCCTAACTTTGTGACAAATTTATTCTATGCTTTGAGATGGTGTTTAGCTCTTCATTAGTTTCCCTTGTGTTGTTTTTATGTTCTCTCATTCTCAATTTACTTTTTCACTTTGTTTGACCTATATAGGACTTTTCACAGTCTTCACAATATATACCATAAACTATATTTTCTACCTCTTATTTTGATATTTCATCTTTGACCTTCTTGATGAGGTTTTTCTGTTGGTTATTTGGTGTCTTGTGTGGTATGTTCAATAACAGGTTTTAATTTAGATAAAATAATTTTACTGTTTACAGAATTGAACCTGAAGGAGTGATAAACTATGTTGCGAAATGTAGTAAATGTAGCATAAACATTTTAAAATTTAATTTATCCAATGATTGTCTCTAATTAAAAGATATTAATGTTCATTGATTGTTTAATTATTTAATAAGTAATTTATGATAATAATTCATTTTACTACCAGAGCAATGGGAGTGTGATATAGTTTCTAATTCTGGTAATATCATTCTTGATAAAAAGTGATTGTTGGTTAAGATTAGGTAAGATTTACAATAAGGATTTAATGTTCTTTTTAATGTGTTTTTGCTCCAGGAAAATACCAAATTCCCAAGCGTTATATACGTGGACTTGAACTTGCTCCAAAGCAAAAAAAGTAAAATGATTTCCCAGAAATGGTCTTGATGCTGTTGCAACACCTATGTGGATCATCACGTGCTATTCAACAAATTGGTTTCCTGTAAATTACTCTAGTAAATAATACTTGGAGGAAAATGTATAGAAAATTTGTTATGCTTGTTCACTAAAAAAATTATTTATAATTTGAAGAGGAGGTAATATGCCCAAATACTATGAACAGAATTTTGAATAATTGAAATGTAATATAATACTTACATATTTATCCTGTAAGTTCATGTATACATATGTAAAAAAAGAAACTTATACAGTGGTCCAATTTCATGGTTGAATGCATCTTTGGAAAAAAGATCTACAATGATGGAAAATAAATAAAGAAAAAAACCAAGTATTTATGTAAAATATTTTTAAAATATTAGTCATTGCAGCTGGCTAGTCTTTTGTTGAACTTTTTAACATTTTTTAGACGATGTAGTACAATGGTATGTTGATAATTTACGTTCCAAATGTCTACATTTCTAAGAGCATACAAATTCACAATATTATTGAGTAAAGAGTTAAACAGAAATCTTGTCAGCTGTAAAATTGTAATTGAACTTTCTGCAATACCATGGATTGACTTTTATTAGTTTCCACAAAAATTATCGCAAATCATCCATAATAATGATCACAAATTTATCAATTATTATCCTTCTCCTTTCTGTAAGAATACTATAGACAAATTATTTTCGGCCCAGAAGATAAATGCACATTGGTTACATGAAGCGTCCTGATGTAATTTTCATTTTATGCACCAGAGTCTACTCTACTTGGTTGCGTATCTTTGGTTTTAAACATAGCTTTAATCATGTCTTTATGGAGTAAAAAGATTCTGGCTGGCTTTCGGCCCTATTTTGTACATCTTCCAGCCCACATTTTTGCTCTTCATTTTGCTTCCTTTTTGTAGGGGTCAATGGATTTTTAATTAGCCCATTCAAATGGTGGTTGCAATAATTGTGATTACAATTGCTTTGGTATATTTTAAATTAACCATGACATTGAACTCCACTTTGCAGTAGGTGGCCAAATTATTAGGGACATTACTCGCATATGTGTAATTTCTAGTTTACATATTTTTTTAGTGAAGTATTTGCTTGCAATAAAATCTGTTGTATTTGTATTACTGTTACCATTATTATTGTTTTTAATGAGTGGCAACACTGATTGCCTGCGTTATTTAAGAATTAATTTAGTTACTTCTAATTCAATTGAAGTTTATTGAAAACTGATGCGGACATACAAATTATTTTTTGCAAGTTTTTCAGTTCCAAAATAATGAAAACGTAAGTATTGTTCTTTATTGCATTACTTTTAGGAAATTTTATGAGTAAATTTCATTTAGTTTACAATGTAACGTCCCAACCTCGAAGTTGTAATTTTTTATTTGGGTAATGCTTCAGAGACGTCTGCAAGGAAAATTAGAGAAATATGCTTCTTTCCACACATTGACAAACAACTATTGCAAGTGTTTCGAAAACTGTCGTTAGCAGTAAAAGTAAATCGATGGGACCAAACCCTGGAAGGCCACGTGGGTAAAGTGGCGCATAAAAGGATCACCGATCGTAGAATCAGGGATATCTGCCTCAAAAAGCTTTGCCCGTCTGACTGATGATAAATGCCGAGGGAGTAACAGCTTCCGAATGGACAGTCCGATGACGGTTAGACGTTGAGAGCCTGGTTGGTCTTCGCCCTGTTCAAAAACCACGCCTCACCCGGGCCATGAAGAAGCGACTACACTGGACCAGACAACATGACAAGACATGTGACTTGCAGACTGAATCGAGTAATACAACCTTTTTAAATATTTAAAGCAGTAATGATTTTATGTAATATTTTACACGTATGCTTATCTGACGAGTCTACCTTTCAGATTTCGCTCCGAATTCGATTGACCACGATTTTCGTCCGAGTTCTTTTGTCTGCGAAACGTTCCATCCAGACTATCTAGTGGGGTGGGTTAAACACCCAGTTGGTGTCATGGAGTGGACGATGATTTCGCAAAGGGTGTATGGTGTGCCTATACATCGTAGAAGGGATGAGTACAAACGAGTACTAGTAACTCTGCTGTCACAGCGCGAAGAATGGCCCCTGCCGATTAAGTTTTTTTAGGCAGAAGTATTACTGCATTCCTGGCAGAACAATATTACCGTTTTCCTCAGGCTGGTATACTCGCCAGACACGAACACAATGGCGGCTGGTGCCCCAAAAGATTGGAGATTGCACCTCCATCGAATGAAATGCAATTTTCCAAAATTCAAAATAGGAATATGTAATAAAAATGTAAGCAATTCATATTAAAACTAAGTTAAGTAAAATTCTATATTGAAATAATACTAACATAATTTTATGCGACGTGTCCGTGTTAGGTATATTATACACCTCCTGTGCAGGTGGTTCCGGCTTTGGTTAACACTGGGCACTTAAGTTCGACTTAAGCATATTGCAACGAGTACTATTGTTTCAACACGTTTCACACAAATAAAATTATTTTATTATCAAAATTTCATTACCCTGGTATATTTTGTAACAAAGATCTTACGCACATGCTCGTATTTCCACCAACACACTCTGTTTGTAACTGCAGGCTGCATCCACCGTTATAGACAGAAGGAGCTTTCCAGAACGGCAGACTTTACACAAAGAATTCATCAAGTGTACATTTTGAATCAGTAAATCTAATATCAATGAAAATAAATTATCTGAGCTTCATAATGCATTAAATACCGTCAATAATTGAGTGAACTTGTGTACTTTCAATAACAAGCGAAATTTATAGAATCGCGTAGCAGCAAGTTAGGCAAAGATAGAATATTATTCTGTGTGTGTGAAAGAATCTCTGAACACCCCCCCCCCCGTCGCTGTGCAGCGCCACCATTCTGGTTGGATCACCAAAACGCTCTATGTTTCCCGTGTTAAATCGAAGGGGTAAGGAGTAAATGCAGTAAACTCGGTAATATAGCCCAGAGCGTGGTGCAATAACTGGCAAAGTACAAGACACCAGAAAGTGCGCCAGTTGGACGCTCTTTGGTTTCAAAATAATTTCATATACATCGATATTGCTGCAATATCTTGAATACTGAGTATCATTAAAAGGAAAATGTATACTCCTAAGTTATTATTAGATATTTTTCTATTATCTGGGGTTTCTGCACGAGCCGCCATTGCTATGAAGACATAGGGAACTCGCCAAGCAAGTGATCACCACCTGGAGCCAGTTAATTGAAATTCTCAATAGAGAATGGCATCACTGAATTGAACTGCCACAAATGGCCAAATCTGGTATAGAGAGCGGGCCGCTATGCATTGAAGCTATAATTGCATCAAAGGGTGGCCTCTCTAAATACTAGTATTAATTTTACATAAAAATAGTTTTACTTAAATATCTTATTGTGTTTATGATTTTAATAATACTCTCTGATGAATTAAAAATACCTAAGAGGCCGAAAACGAATAATTTGTTTGTAAAATGCAATTGAATTATATAACACAAAAATCAGACAGGACAAACGAACCTAACTTAGTATAGATTGATTATTTTTCAGTAAATCAAAAATAATGATTCGATACGAATTTGCGAGGTACCACAAAATCGACTGAAAGCAAGAACTTGGGAATTCGGCAATGTGGTTATGTAGATTGTAGTATACATGTTGCAACTATTTAATACAACCAGTAGACTATACTTCACCGTAAATTGATTAAAAGATATTGAGTTACAATTGTCTTGAGAATATAGAAAAAAAGATGTTGCACACATTCAAAACTTCAATGCGTCCTCTTTCATAGAAAATAGTAAATGTTCCAGTAATTAAATTAATACAGCTATTTAATTCCGAAAATACCCAACTGTTCATATGTTTTCACACAATAGACAAGTCGTAAGTTGTAAGTTAGTTAAAATTTCAGTAACAGTTTCAAATTTGTAATATGCCTGTTCGTCGCGCTTATAGCAAAGAACACTTGAAATTTTACTTCTGGGAACCGGCTACAAGTAATAAAGGCACGTAAACAAACCAAATTCACTCCAATTACTGAAATATATAAATCACATTTGGAAGAAAATGTGAGGGCATATCTAGGGAAAAAGCTTGGAAAATGTGTGGGGAGCATGTGGATGAATACTTCACATTTATTCTTAAATACTACACGGAAATTTACGACCGAGCTTACAAACTAGATACTTACGAACTTACCTAACTCTAAATGGTCTTGCTTCCTAACTTATTCTAATTATTTATATTTTGTTGGTCCAACACCGAACACTACTTACAGTATTTACGTTTATTTTTCAATTTAAACGTCACAGTTTGAATGTTTGAGGCACGTCTGCCTTTTGCTATACACTTGGACAATCATACGTATAAACACAAACTCATAACATATATAAGATCATATAAACACAGCACTCACGCCACGCTGCCGTCCGCCTTAATTTAATCGCAGTGGCAAGGGCCTTCAACTGCCCGTCCTTTCCCGCAGAGTACAGGAGTATCGTCTGCGTCAGTATGTCAGGGTCGTGGACGAGGTAACAAGCTTTCTAGAGCTCGCGGGCACCGTGTCCAGAGAAATTGTAGCGCGAGTTTTAAAATTAATGGTTGGACAAAGGTTACGCAGTGATGGTAGGTCACTGAATACACAACACATGAGTCTTTGGCACAAGAAACTCAACTGTTATTGTCACAAATTTAGCTATTTTAATTACTATTTTCCCTTTAAGACATTATTGATCCATTAAAAGAAAATAATACATCAATCCAATTCTCAATTGAGAGTAAAATTAAAAAAACTTTGAAACAAAAGTATCTTGAATTTTTTAAAATCTTGTTTACTTAAGAGTGATACAAAAGCATGAACTTTATGCGTTCAGGTTAGAAGGTTTAACAGCCAAATATTCTTTTCTGTTAAAAGCACTGTCCGTCCGTAAGTAAGAATTGTTAACTTAGACTTGTTAATTTATTTCACATTCCTAAATGCAATATATAACTGAATGATTTAATAACACAACAGAAAACGAAACCAAGGCAATAATTCGCCATTCAAACATATTTCGGTCGATTAGCAAAGATGTTTATATAAGGGAGAATTTAGTAAGAAAATAAACATCAAATAGTAATAAGTAGTGAATAATATAAGCAAAATACAATTCGCTGTTATTTGATTTTTAAAAAAAAGGCGGGCAAACATACGTTCGTATGAAGCCACTATTTCCCGCCTCGCGCCGCTTCAGCTCGCGAGTGTACACCCCTTTCTGGATTTTAAGTGAGTGCGGAGTCAGGGGAAGTTGTTCGCGCCGTTGGAGCGCCGGGCTCCCCGGCAGATCCAGGCAGGCAGGTAGCTTTTGCGGGCGCGGTTTGACGTGCCCTCGACGCCACGCTCCTCTCGCAGCATTCAGGGCGCCTGCCATTATGAGGAGGAAGCTGACCTTCCAGAAGTTCCTGGCTGCTAAGAGACGAATGCATTCGTATTTTGCCGCCTTCTCATAATAGCAGGCATGTCGAGGATCCCCGTTTATGCTGCGCAGACCGAGGCGTCAAAAGCGATCGCGTGGTGGTCTTTGACTAGCACCAGGTCCGATCGGTTGGTCTGGAACGAGCAGCGCCCACCCTCTCCGACTGCAGCTGCTTAAACATGTGCCAGTAATGTTGTGGCGCAGCCAGGGAGTGGGTGCGGCACTCCGAGCTAATACGTGCGATCGTTTCGGGGGCGAGGTTATCGGCATGCTTGCAGCCTGGGGAGCCTGTGGTGAATATTTAAAGGATCATAAGGGGAAAGTGCAGGGTTACATGCAGAAATACATCCTCCGAAATGGCAAAGTTGTTAGTACAATTGCGTATTGCGGCTGGTAGTAATAAAACGTATAAATATCAGTATTCCATGAAAATGTTTCCTGCCTTAAGTAGGTCAGTTTTGACAAACACTACTGATTCGTAAATTAATAGGAAAGGTAAGGCTAAAATTCACGTGGTGGATGGAAATTGTTCCTTTTATTTTTTTGTACAGTATAAAAGTCAGGGTAGTGTACGATGATCTTCCCCAG